TTCTCTATCCTGGGGAGGGAGACGATACTAGTGGCAATATCGCAGGGGGTGTACACACCCACCGTGATGTTGTTCCGAATATCCAGAGGGAGAGAAAATGGTATGACTCCCAATATCACAGGGGGTGTGCTGCATCCTGTGATACTGTTTATATTCAAGGGGAAAGGATATTTCCAATATCACGGGGTGTACACAACTCCTGTGATATTGTTCCTCATATCCCCAAAGGGAGAGCATAATATTTTTCAATATGGCAGGGGGTGTACACCACCTCTGTAATATTCTTAATATCCATGATGGGAGAGGATATGACATGACTCCCAATACTGCAAGAAGTGTACAGCCGCGTGTGATGCAGTTGCTAACATCTAGGTGGGGAGAGGATATTACTGCCCATATAGCACGAGTTGTAAAACCCCTTTGATATTTTGCCTACAATCCTGAGGGGAGAGGATGATATTGCTCCCAATATTGAAGGTGGTGTACACCCCCCTGGGACACTATGCCCAATATCCACGTTGGGAGATGATGATACGCCCAGTATCGCAGGGGGTGTACACCCACCTTGGGATATTGTTCCTTATATTGAGAGGGGGAGAAGTTGCTATTGCTTCTAATAATGTAGGGGCCGTGGCTGTACACCCCTCCTGTGATATTGTTCTTAATATCCTAGGGAAGAGAGGATATTACACCCAATATCACAAGGGGTGTACACCCACCCAGTGATACTGTTCTTAATGTACTCCACCTCCCACCACCAGGGTTACTGTTCCTAATATCCAGGGCAAGAGGATAACATTATGCCCAATATTGCAGGGCAGTGTACACACCCTCTGTGATGTTCCTAGTATCCGAAGGTAGAGACGATATTACTGGCCATATTGGGGGGGGGGGGTGTACACCCTTCTGTGATAGTTTTTGACATTCAGTGGGGGAGAGGAGAACATCAATCCCAATATCGCAGAAGGTGTATAGACCCCTGTGATGTAGTTCCTACTGTACTGGGGAAAGAGAATATTGCTCTCAATATCACAGGGGCTATAACCACCCTGCCCCCCGTATATTGTTCCTAATATGCAGCGGGGTGGAGGCTGATAGTACTCCCATATATCGCAGAAAACGGTGCACTAACACTCACGGTGATATAGGCTTCTTATATATTCCGGGCGGAAGAGCGGGGATTTTACTGGTTGATATTGCAGTGGGTGTACACTTGCCCCCCAACCCCTGGGGTATCGTTCCTAAATCCAGGAGGGAAGGAATATGGCAGTGGCTGACAATATCAAGGGGTGACACCTCTTTAGTGATAATGTTTTTTTTTTTTTTTTTGTTTGTGTTTTTTTTTTTTTTTTTTTTGTGTTTTTTTTTGTTTTTCGCGGCTACCCCTCGTGGTATCCAGAGCGCTTAGGGGATAGTTGGACTCCCAATAAAAGTTGTACGAGCTTTACAGGCCACCCCGCTTGCGATGTTGGTATCCTTAACCACAGGCGGGAGAGAGGTGGCTGATAGTTCGCCGACCAGTGATTGCAAGGTGGGGTTACTCACCTCCTTGATACTGTTTCTTGATAGCCGCAGCCCCCCCCGCCGCCCCCTTGCCCCCTGCCCCCCCGCGGCCCCGTGCCCCTGTAAAAAGAGGAAGATCGGGGGTATTAGTACATCAAGATGTACTGAAGGGGATGACAGGCCCGCCCATGGGGGTGATATTGGTTCTATAGCAGCATACAGGTTGGCAAGAGGATGAGAGTCCGATCCAATACAGACAATGGGCGCGCGGTATACACCGCCGCCTGGGATATGAATGCGGTGAAGAGACCGTAGGGGGGAGAGTTTGACATTGCTTCCAACACACTACACGGCGGGTGTCAGCCCACCCTAGCTGAATTGCTTCCTGTCAGGTCTAAAAGGCAAGAGCTGCCTGCTACTCCACTACCGCGGAGAGAATGGTACACACGCCCCCTGTGGACGCAGTGATTCCTCGATAACTTGTGGCGGCGGGAGCAGTGCATAGTTACTTCCAATATGGCATTGCTTGAAATACCCAGTCTGTGATGATTGCTCCTGAACTTGTTCCTAGTAGGTAAGAGGTGATGATGTACGCTGCCAAGAGTAGTAGCTGGGGTGTACAAGGAGCGCGCTGTGATACGTCGTGAATACTCGGGGAACACGCGGAGGACATTACCCAAGTCTCCAAAAAGTATAGCACCCATTGTGCGCGTGTTCTATGATATGGTCCTAATATCCGGAGTGCAAGAATGGTATTCTTGCCATTGTGGCAGTAATTGGCTTGCGCGATCCACATCGCAGGAAGCCGCCCCTTGCGACTGAATGTAGTGTAGCAACCCCCTCTTCCCCCCTGCATTGACGGATCGCGACAGTCCCACTGCAGTTTCAGTGGACACGCAGCCCTGCCCCAACCTTTGACCCAGCCAGTTAGCGTGTCAGCTGGGAGCGCATGCTCAGGCACGGGTGGCAGGCTCAGCTGCTAAGGGTTATCCCTGCTGCCAGAAAGGGCACCCACTGTTCGCTGGGTTGAATCTGGCGCACAGGGTCTGTTCGTGGGTGAGCAGAATGACGCATGAGCATGACACCCCGTGGAAATCTAGCGACTGACTGAGAGTTCAACGCGCCCCATGAGAACGCACCATAGCACGCGGGCTTGAAAGGACCTGTAATGTATTTGTCCTTCACATAAGGCCATCATGTGGGAGGTGAGTATTGTACCACGCAGCATATGCAAGGTGGTATACACCCCTCTCCGTGGTGTGATGTAGTTTGTGCTGATAATGCTCAGGTAAATATTTGTGATATGGTATTAGTGACCGATATTGAAGGGGATGCAGCCCCCCATGGTATATTTGTTCTTAAAAGATATCGGTTGAAAGAGGACGAGATTCCATGTCGCAATAAACAAGGGGGTTTGCTACATCCGGCCGTTGGGTGATAGAATTGTAGTAAATCTAGAAGGGGAGAGAATGACTCGGGGCCACAGCAGGCCTATGTGCAGATAGCAGGGCCGGAGGTCACCTCGCAATCCCTCTGAGTTTGCCTCCCCTGTTGCCCCACACAAGTCAGAAGCTCAGGGAAGGAGGCCCTGGGTTGAGCGGCCAAAGCCACAGCCGAGAATGAGGGTCAGGTCTGTTCCCAAAATGGCGTGGGGCGAGGGTGTTTGCAGCCTATGGACCGGCCCTCCAGCCCGTTCTTCCAGAGTGTGGCTCTGCCTCGGCTGTGTTCATCCCATCTGCAGAAACTGGCCAGACCAGGACGACAGACTCACAGACATGCACCTTTGGGGACCCGTCAGTTGGGTATGGATAACACAGATCTGTGCAAACATGTTATATCCCAGAAAGTCACTTCCTGTATCCTTGTCCCAGGCAGCTACCCCCATGAGGGACTAAAGCAAAGAGGAGACCCGCCCCCCAAGGTCTGGCTCCAACCTCGCAGGTCCCAACTGACGGCGCCCTGGCCACCTGAGTGGTAGAGAGGGGAAGGCAGGTTTAGGCCTGGTCTATCCATCCTGATAGGAGGAGCCGGGCCTCCAGGGTGCACGTGTGTCACAGTAGGACCACAGATGGGAAAGTGTGTAGCCAGGCAGAAGGAAATGTGGGGCTGCAGTGGGGGCCCAGAAAGAGCTCCACTGTAGAAAAGAGGCGTGTGGTCAGCTCTTCATTACTTTCCATATTTGTAGGCGATAAACAGATCTGTCTGCTGTGCCAGCAGAAGAGTGGTGTCTGTTTCCACCATCCAATAGGAAAATGTAGACAGAAAACACTAAAAATGTGGAGGTTCCCCCTGGGCAGGGGGATTTTTTTT